GGGAGGACTCAACGACTAGCCTGAAGACAAACGCTAGAGGAATTCTGAACTAGTTCTGAGCAGTACTATGTAGAAAAGGAGTACATTCTCCCATGGGGAGCATACAAAAGGACAATAATTTAAATGAATTAATTGATGTGTTTAAAATCTAGTCTCCTTTCTTCAAAGTGACACCTGACACGTTGCATTGACAATTTTATGTATTAGTACATTAGTACAAAATGCACTAACAGTGATAACAAATGAAAATATGTACCAGATGTCAACAATGAATGGAAATATGACCTCAATTTAATAAATTGAAAAATACACCTACCAAGAGAAAACAAAAACCTTAAAAATACATCTTTACTATTGGGTTAGAGGAGAAATAAAACTTTCTTATATTCAACACATTTTCACGCAACATACTATTTTAATAAGTTTCTTCAAGTGTAGGGAAGGGGGTAAGAAGTGCCAGTAGGTAATAAATCTAAGATAAATTTACAAAACTCTTCTAAAAGGAAGTTCCTCCTTAGGACAGCTCCAGTATGGAGCGTCCCATTCAAGGAGCCAGGAATCCTGACAGATCCAGGATTTTGGTCTGGCTCTGTCATCAGGTCACTGTGTGTTCCTGGGCAGACACCCACACTCCACCCAGCCCTTCAAAGGCCCTCAGCTCGCAACACATTATGATATTTTCCTACCTCTCTCTTATCTGTGCTGCAAAATTCCTTTGTCTAAGCTTTTAGGAAGAAATGAGCACCTTTAGCCCCTAATGACATGAAAGTATGCCATTTCCTTCTGCATAAACAAACACCTTAAAAGGTATATACCTTAGTTATCCTTTATGTATTAAGTCACGAGAAAAGATAAAATCGGTTCACTGTTATAAAATAAATTCCCTTCCTAGCTATTTTGTCTATTTGCTCGACAAAATTTGAACAGTATAATCAGTATGTATTTTTGGTATTCACACAAAATTAATACTTCATAAATATGAATCCTGCTATTACCTGTGTGCATTGTGATGTCCAATTATTGTCATTTGCATAGTACACAATTCTTATCTTGAATAGTCAAAAGATTAAAAGATATTTTGGAAAGTGCGCTGCCCATTTCTGTCTGTAAAGTGTAACATACTATAACTTGAACTTGATCTTTAAACCCATGAAAGAGAGACTTTCTACTAAGTATGCAGGAAGTCATTCCCACCTCTGTCAAGTCAACAAAATCCAGGAGAAACTCATAAACAGCCCCATGCGATAGGAAGAAGATTATGAACTTGCTTGATTTCAGACAGATTGAGGACATTTTTAAAACATTTTTAAATTTGGAAGTCTTTTTTTCACATTAACTGGATGAAATTTTTTTCGGTTAAGAATAAAGGGGAAACAATGATAGTAACGTTTCATTTAAATATGCAAAAGCAAAAAGATCATGGAATGAGGGTTATAACTTCTGTTTATATAATATCTGAGAGAGTGAATGATGTGAATGTCTTAGAAAAGCAAAAAAAAATGCATCATTTTGCAAAGTAGCTGTGGTCAGTGTTTTTACTACTTAGATTCTAAGGAGGGTTGGCTGTGACAGTGGTCATCCAACACATTAAGCTCCATAACACCAATCCCATAACAGACCTTACCTCCTGGTGGGGACACAGCTATTTAAGAAATATGCTTTCCATGGATGGGATCAATGGAACCTGCCTTTTGAAATGATACCCAGCTTTAACTGTAGTAGTTTCTTCTGGAGACACCAGACCATTATTTTCTTCTTTCACAATAATTTATTCTAAACCAAGAAGCCATTTGGGAATAGAACAAACCAAGAATGTTTGTTGTTCTACTCAGATGGAGACTCATCAGTAAGGAAAACAAAGGAAGTTAACCACACACTCCACACACTCACATTTAGTCCTTCTCGAGTGGACTTCCCTGGACAGTCTGATTCCACAGGACTTCCCCAAGTAAATGCTTGAGTTATGTGCATGCTGGTCTGTCTACAGTAGTTCTCAAAGTGTGACCTCCCAGACCAAGAGCGTCAGCATCACCAGGGAACTTGCTAGAAATGCCACTTGTCACACTTCACACCAGACCTCCTAAGTCAGAAACTGGTGTGCAGCCCATGGACGTGTATGTTAACAAGGCTTCCAGATGATTCTGGTGCACACTGAGGTTTGAGAGCCACTAGTCTTCGGCACATGGCCTGCCGGGTTCTCACTCCATTCATTTTTCCTTCCTATTAATGCCCTTCCTTCTGCCCTACGCATCTAACTAAATCCCATTCTGCCTCAAGTCTGGCCCAGCATTTCACCAAACTCTGCCAACTTCTTACTTGAAATAGCATTTATCATGGACGTATCATGGTTAAGTATTACCTATATCTGAAGGATTTAAGCACACTGTGACTTACATAATCCTCTAAATTATTTCTTACTTGTGTTTGTTTTATCACTTCAACTGAATCGAAAGCCTCTTGAAGGCAGGAACTATGCCTTATGTACTGTCTTACTTCCCATCGCATCTATCAGTGCTTAAGCCCTTGTTCTCTCTTCCCACCAACTTCCAAATATCCAAATTCCACCTATTTCTCAAGATTTAGCTCAAATGGCATCTGCTGTGATCTGGCTTCTTCTCTATAGAAGTATTTTTCTTCCTTGGAAAAATCATAACTTTATATCTTTTTAGTTCTCTTCTTCATATCACACTCATTTGTTCGTGTCTTATCTCTCTCATCATTGGAGACTGAGATCATTGTTCTAAACCACTCTTATAAAAAAAAAGAAAAGGAAGAAAATGATTTAGGATGCCTCAGGGTGCGCCTGTATAATTAGCTTATTTTCCCTCAATATTTATAACTCCGATTTTTGGTAATCTGACTATTTACATAGGAAGTAAGTCTCACGTTTCGGAGACTCAGTATTTCTCCTAGGCGCTTTGGGGGTCTGATCAGGGTCTGCGCGCTGGAGACGATCGTTGCAATTTGTGTGGTCTAATAAGAGGTCTCAAAAGATTAGACATGAAGTAACAGGAATCTGCAGGAAATCAAGCCATAAGGAAACCGGGGCGACTTGAAGTCACATCGGTAAGGAAGAAAAGAGCCTCACCCCGGGGTGAGGACCAGTAGCAGAAGGCTTAATTGTTACCAGGTCGTGGTGTGAACCCATGTGCCTGCCGATGCCCCAGCTAATGGGAACCTGATGCAGCCAGCTTCCTGAAGCCCGCCCGTCTGGACTTCAAACACAGCAGCCTATCCCACAGGATCAGGCGGGCTGGAGTCACAGGTTTATTTCCTCTCCAACAAAGGAGTCCCTCCTCCCCCACCCCCACCCCATCAGCTAAAATGGGCTGCAGTGGGACCCCGCCAGGGCTCTGGGACCACCTCTCCTGTTTTCCCCATCTAACTTTTCACCCTAACCCCTCCCTCCCTGAAAGTGGCAGACTCATCTCAGTAGCCCCCAAGAGCCTCTGGCTTTCTGTGCTTGCAGACCCCAGAGTGAGCGAGAGCTCACAGGTCATTTGCCGGCAAATCCCACTGGGCCAGCTGGGAGCGAGTAGCAAGTCTACACGAGTGTGTGGTGAAATCGGGTACTGAGAACTGATGGTTGATGGGAATGGGCGATGCCAGGAAAGAGTCCACGGGTGAGCTAAACCTTCGAGGTCTGATTCTCGTGTTCCTACCTGCATCTTCACTTCTGTTTTGCCGACAGCTCCCGACAAGAAAATGCCAAAGTAGAAGGCAAAGAATTCTCCCGTTTCTGTGACTGGAAAAGTGTTTACAGTCCCTGCTGTTTGGGGTCAGCCCAAAACCCCCAGGCGGGCAAGCATTAGCCCCTCTGAGGAGGAGGAGCGTTCTGGAACTTAATGCTTCCTGGGCTCTTTCTCGGACCTCAATTCCCACAGGCGGCCTTAGCGTTTTTCCTTTGCCGAGATTTCTGAAGTTCTCTTTTTTACATCCCTTATCGACATGTAAACTCCACACTAGGGTGAAGAGGTAGGTGTTTAAGATAGACGGCAACAGCTGGGATAAACTGTCTCTTAAAAGGCTGTCTGAATGAAATGCATCACTTTATATGTGGGGCATTTGTAAGGAGGACGGGAGTGAAACTCGAGAAGATTATGTGATAACCAGACTATATCCTGTCAAGAGAGAGAGTGTTTCTCTAATAACGCCAAGATGAGCTTCTCGATAGCCTACCAGATAGCCATCTTACGCCCAGCGTCTCCCTTCATAAATCTTCCTTCTTACTCAGGTTTTCTGTAGATTTTTGAGGATAGAGCTCATTTCCCTGGAGAGACAGCCCTAAGGAAAGATCTGGAATTCCTCCAGTTAAAAAAAAAGCCACTATTCTGCTTAATCAACATTTGCTCCAACAGAATCAATATCCTGCAGAGGGTGGTTCTCATTGTTCTAAAGTCTGTGTGCAGGTGGCAGAGCAAAGATACGGTTCCTGAGAAAGATTTGCTGAAAAGGAAAAGAAAATATCCCTCAGAAGAGCAAAAAAGCCTCCCAAACTCTCCTTTTGCAAATAAGACTCCTTTTGTGAGATTCTGCCTGGTTTTGCGTTCTCAAGAAATTTCAGTAACCTGACAATTAGGCAACACCCCTCTTCCCAGAGTTGTCTATTATTTCTCACTGAAAGGGCTCAGCCACTCACTAAGCATCTAATAACTTACTGGTCCCCTTTGAACCTTCATTTTCTTTATCTTTGGTAATAGTTCCCCCCCCTGCAAGTTGTAAATGAGATAGTGTGCATGAAATTAGCTAGCCCACCGTGGACACCCCATAGAAAGCTCCCCACTTTACTTGGTTTACCCCAGACTAGATAGGACAGGGATAAGCTTTAGAATCTGAACTGGGTTCAAGTTCTGGCTTCTTTATTTTCCATGAGGTGTCCTTTGACAAATCCCTTAGCCTGGTGTCTTCCCTGAACTTTAGTCTCCTCATCTGTCAAAAGTGGATAAAAATGGGATAGGACAGGATAGGACAAAGATAGGATGAAGTTACCTCTCCTCATTTCAGATAAGAACCTAGTGAACAAATATAAATCTTGTAATAGACATCTGTATATTTGTAAATTGTAACGCACATAAATCTTATTAGTTATAATTGTCAATAGTCTTCACAATTGAATAAAATACATAGAATACTATTGAAACCACAAATATACTTAAGAAATCAAAGGAAAATTTTTATTTCTTAGAAAACTATTATTATCTTGTTCTAGTTTTGACTAGTTTTCTTAACCTGTTGACTCTTTTTGAGGAAGGCCTTTATAAGAAGCTGTGCCGACTGAGAGAATTAAAACACGTGCTCTTGAGCTACAAGGAAGAAACCCAGAAAATGAAGGTCTCTTGAAGTTCAAAATATATGGAATACCAAAGAATTCAGGAAACTCCATTTGAGCCGAAGATTATTTGTGTTCATGGCACTCACTCGTCTTTCTCTGTTTGGGCTCCGCTTCCTGAAAGGGCTCATGGAGCTCTGTGATGCAGCGTAGGTGGAACAGCTGGACATCTTCCTAGCCTCCTGGTGTCACAGCTTATCAGTGTTGATGGACAGAGTACATAAGGCCTTGCCTGCCTTGCTGACCAAACAGAAAACACACTCCTCGATTTCTACTGTGCTCTTTTCTTCTTGCAAAGGAAAAAGAAACTTTATTTATGACACTGAACCATGTAGGAAGCAACGAATGCGTTAATGTCACCGGGCAAATTCCATCCCTGGACCTCATTGTACTCACCTGAGTCTTGAGTCCAACACAGTGAAATTTTGATCACCCTCAAAAGAAATAGCATAGATATTATGAAAATCCTGGGCACACAGGAGCGTCCTTTTGATTTAACCGGACAAGGAGTGGGGAGTTTGAAGAATCTGAGAATTGAAGAATGCACACATTAGATAAAGCAAATGTATATGGTACAAAGAGAACACATACCCCCACACCCCACCATCCACTGATGAGTCATTTCAGAAGAATTAATCTCCACAAATTTTGACTTGGGGTTGAATGTTTCAGATTTCCAAATATATATGATATGTGGCAAGGTTTTAGTGAAATGCATTGCTTTTGTTAAGTTAATTTACATCTCAAATGAGAAAATAAGGGTAACTCTGAATTCACTTCCTTATAATAATAAGGTTAATAGGTAAAAATCAATGAATTCCTTTATTGTTTATTCCATAAATATTCAGTGAGTACCTACTGTGTCCCAGGTGCTGTGCTTGGTACTGAATATACACTGATGAATAAAACAGATATGGTCCCTACCCTTAGGGCTGACATTCTGATATTAAAACAGTGCAGCTTCCCTGCCTTTGGGCTAAGGAAGGGGAGACTGGTACAAGAAAACCATCTCCATCCACATGGTAACTTCCACTATAAACTGGACCCTTGGGTAGGAAAGAGTCTACTTTGTCACTCAAGGCAAACCTGAGGCCATCAGAGCAGCAGCCTGGCGTAGCCATTAAGAGCACATTCTTGGAGTCATACTGTCTGGGTGGAACCCTGGCTTCTCCACTCTCTAGCTATGTGCCCTTGGGCAAGATACTTGATCTCCCTGTGAATCTGTAAAATAGGGGTCATATTAATACCCACTTCATAGGGCTGTTGTAACAATTAACTCAAAACATACAAAGCTGTTAGAATAGCGCCTGGAAAACAGCAGGTGCTCAATAAATGTTAGCAATTCTTATTCCTATCTGACCTCATCTCCCATCACAGCTCCATACACAGCCTGGGGTCCAGGCAGGATTACTTCCATTCCCAACGTCCATCACAATTTCCCTCACCTGCCCTCTCCCCCCAGCCCCGCCATGCTTTTACCCATGGTGTTCCATCAGCTTGGAGAGCCTTCCCATGTCTTTTGTTCCCAGCAGACTTTCCTTGCATCCTTCAAGCCTCAGCTCAAGCTTACTTCCCCTGGGAAAATCTCCTTACACCTGACTGCCAGTGGTTGGGTGCCCCTCCACTCCGTTCAGCTAACAGCTGTGGATCATTCTAACACGCTAATGCACACTGGACTCGAAGTGCTTGCCTGTGTGTTCCATCTCACCAGATGGGGGCTGCTATGAAGCCTTAGGAGAGGTTCAGTGAATGGTTGTTAACTGAACAAATGAATTAGAGAGTAAATTGATGGAAGGAAGGAAGGAAGGAAAGAAGGAAGGAAGGAAGGAAGGCAAGCTGGAACAACCCCATTGGGATACTTAATTGTACCATGTGGAGTAGACAGTGAGATAATAAATCCCCTTGAAGAGCTCTGAGCCCGGGGGCTATTGCCTCCTCCAGATTCTCCAGTGCTCTTCCATTGGCCTAAAGACATAAGGGCAACCAGAGATTGAGCTAGAAACAGGGAGCAGAGAACCTTTCATACGACTTTACCATCCATGAACTCTGACCACATCAGAGACCCACAAGCAGTCAAAGATGGCATGTGCACCAAGCCTCTGTCCTTAAGCGCAGGAACCCGAATGTTTCTCAAGAAGGATGGTTGTCCATAGCTTTAAGGGCAGATCAAATCGGGAAAGTGCACAGTTCCCCCTTGGCAGCAGTTGCATCAGAATACTTCTCAACAGAAAGGACCTTAAGCTGCAGTTCAAGCCCGTGATTGTTGCCCTCAAAATTGGCTCATTCTTTCAGTCTCTGGTTCACCAACAGCATTACATTTTGATTAACTATTTGCAATCCCAACTGAAAAATGAAATGTTGGCTTCCCAACACCAAAGACCCCAGGCACGTCAGCATTTTCCAAACACACGCTGAGAAAGGGGAGAGGGGACATATTATGTTAGAATATCATAGAGACCCAAGTGTTACAATAAAAAAAAAAATCACAGAAGGACTTATTCACCGAGACGTCTGAAAAGGGTAGGTATTGTGTTCATCAGCGCAGAAGTTTCAACTAACAAGAGCTTTTAATTCCCCCAATCTGAATAGAAACAATTAAATGTTTGAAAAACAAAGTCTAGTTTTTCAAGTGTCAAAATTGAGATCTCCATATCCTGTTCTTATTTTCTCTCTCACCTTTCTTAGTCTTCTGCGTATGAACTCACTTTTGGTGCCTAATGAGCTATCCCCATATCTTGATGTCTGGTGGCCAAGGTGAGCTCCTTCCATTTTAAGGAATAAGACTTTCTGATTGCTGTCCTCAGAACAGGGTCATTGCTGTGCTTGCTCACTCACTGATTATTTATTGACCTGGGGCAGATATTCTAGTAGGCAAAGGAGATGAAACAGTGAGCACAATCCACCCTCTGCCCTGAGAAGTTGTGATTAGTTTGTGATTTGCTGGTGAGAGACGATTCGCCTGTGTGTGCCTAACGTTGACAAATGTATTTTGAAAATATCCCACAAGAACTGAAGATTTTGTAAAAGTTAGTTTTTGACAAAATGAAACACTTGTGTCCTCTGGCACAGTATCTGGGATATAGTAGGCACATGGTTGACATCCATTTCTTGATTTCCTACCTTTGAAAATCAAGTGGTGTTTAAGATCAATTTGGGGTCTTGACATTTCCGGCAAAGCATGGAATTCTCCAGCCCTGAGATGCTGTGTAGTAGAGAGGACAAGGGCTTGGTCTTTGGCGATGCCTCATCTGGCTTTCAACCCTGGTTCTCTCTGCCTCTCGGTACAGCAGTAACGGCGAGGAAGTTGCTTAAGCTTTCTAAGCCTTAAGTTCCTCATCTGAAAAATGGGAGAAATGGTACCTGTCTCACCAAGTTGTAAGACTACTTGAGATCAAGTAGGTAAAGCTTTGTTCATGTGAGTCTGGCATCAACAGCAGCTACTATTTAATGTAAATAATCATCATCCTCAATTTATTTGCTTTGGGAGATCAGCTTATTTATAAAAACATGATTTTCTCAAGGCAAAACATGCCTATAATTTGCAATGAAACATCAACTCCAGAATGGAGGACTGCGGGATTCTGGCATCTTTGTCGTCTTTCAAGATGTATTGTGACAACCACCTCTCCCCCAAGAATCCTTCCCTGCCCTAGCAGAAGGGAGTTTGGACCACAGCAGCCCGGGGCACTCTCTTTCAACGTGATGGATCCGAATCTTGCTCTGTATTCACCTAACTTCCTTATCCAAGAGGTGTATCAAGTCTGAACTAGATTGGACGTTCTTTCAGGTTCTCATTGATGCTTTCCCTCTTTGTTAATATGTCCTCCCAGAACACTGCCTTCGGGCTACATTTTCTGGGACCAGGGTACCAACTGGATCTCCCCATCCCAGGGAGAGCCAGACTCCACTGTCAGTGTACCCACATCGAGCAGCCACTCTGTGGGCACCCTCTGCCTGCCTCTGTTGGTCCTCTCTGGGTTATTGTTTTCACTCAGTTCCATGAGTTCCTTGCAGCTCCGTACACAGTAGGCAGTGCATTCTTCTTTGCACAGCCTGTGATTGCGGGAAGCCAATGGCCTCCCTGAAATTACCCTTGGAAAATCTTTAATATAAAACAGTAGTTCTTGACTCTAGGGAAGTCTCGGACTCTTGAAACTCTGTTGAATACGTAAGAGCTCTCTCTCTCTCTGGGGCCGAGAGGAATATATAACATTTTTACATATGAATTTTTAATGCAATTTCAAATGATTCACAGACCCCCTGCAGCCTTTCCATGTACTGTCTTGGGTATCCACCTAATCTAGAAGAATCCAAAACAACTCCTGAGTTCTCGCCGGGATTCTCATTGTCTCTTTTTGTGAATCTCGAGAAACCCAGCAAAGCGGCGAGCTCTGCAGAATTCAGACGTGGAATTGGCTCACGCACGGTGGACCCTGGCTCTGCTCTGAGTGTCCCTCTCTTTTACAGAGAGGTGATAATTCATCCTCCTGGGGACATCCTGGCCAGTTTCCTCAGGCCCAGACATTGTGCAAACTCCAGAAGCTTCTCAGTCTAAGAAAAGGAGCATTCTGCAGAAAGCACACTGCATCATAATAAACACGGATCTTTAGTGAGCAGTTGTTTGAGGTCATTTTCTCAGCAGCAGCAGCGGGCTCAAAATTGATGTGCAAACCAGAAGATTAGGGAGCGCCGGGCAGCCCCAGGGGCTGTTTTCTGCCCGGTTCAAGGGAAGCTGCTGTAGGAATTTTTGCCTCCAGCCTCTCGTTGAGTGACAGGAAAAGAAAAAAGGATCATTTGAAGGCTCCTCAATTCAAACGGCTGTACAGAATGCCAGGCCCTCGCTGCCCTAGAGAAAGCCACTCTGGTGCCAGCTTAAGAACAAATGCGTTCCCACTGTCTCCTGGAAAGGCTGTCCCCACCCCTGCTGAGGGGGTGGATTTCAAAGCAGCTGACTTCTTGCCCTTTTTAATAGGACTGCAAGTGTTCCTGTTTTAATGCTAAAACTTTCCCCCAATTTTCCACTCCTCCAAGGCCTTCCCAAGAAAAGCTGGTATTCTGGGTCACTGAAATGGCGTCAGATTATTAAGCAGAGAAAAGAGATTAGAGGGACGGTTCACAGCAGCAAACACAGTTAGGGGATTGCAAGCTCATGCTGCATGGTAATGAAATGCTGTAAAACATCAAACCCTAAAGGTACTACTTAAAGCCACCAGAATCCCTTCGGGAGTGTGCCTTCTGCAGCCATGGATCTAAAAGTCCCACATCTTTCCCATACTTTCATAATCATGCCTCCCTCTTTTAAAGATACACACAGACTCCTCCCAAACCAGGGTGTGTTTTGAATGCTGACCGCCCCATCTCTCCCTGACACCGCGGAGCCTTTCCTTCTAAAATCCCCGAGTCTGCGAAGTCTGGCCAGCACGCTGGGGAGAGGTAGACAGTCATTAAGTCAGCCGTTAGCTGCTGTGAGCTGACTTGGGTGTTTCATCGCAGCTGCCTGCCTCCGTCTCCCCAGCCGCCCTCCCACGTCTTCCTATGAGACCGGCTGTGTGTGTGTGTGAAGGAGGTGCTGTTTCCCACAGCTCTGATCTAATTCAGCTGAAACTCAATCTCCGTGTGACCAACCTCAGCCAGCGCTCTCCCACCCGCCGCCGGGCTCCCCTCTCCAGGATGTGTGTGCTGCCCATTGACACTGTCAGTCCCACAGCCTCCCCTCCAGCAGCCCCTGGGTGTAGACTTACGGTGTCAGTGGGCCAGCCTTGGGGGCTTGCCTGCTGCCCGGACCCTCACCCCTCATCCCCCATGCTCTGAGGGGAGACACCCTATACCTGCCACTCAGCGGTATGAATGGGGCTTGTGAGTTATCGCCGGGGAAAGGCAGCCGAGCCAGATGAGGCTGAGAACCCGAAACAGATGGAAAAGACATCAGGCTGAGTTTTCCGTGGATCTTCAATGCCCAGAAAGATTTATGACCCCTTTTAACCCCCTTTTAACATAGGTTGCCCTGGGCTTGTTTTATAGCAAGGAAACAAGCCTGGCAGTCATACAGAAAACCACCAGGCGTCAGAGCCTGCCCCAGGGTCTGCAGACCTTGCTTCCTCTCTTTGTCCTCTCTCCCTTAAGATCCATGCCTCAGCCTCTGCATTTGGTGGGGACATTGCATCACAACCTCTTTTTAACTCTCCATTCCCGGATAGCCCAAAGTGACCAGTCGCTTTGACCCTAAATGGTGTTCAATTTGGGTGTGCATCTTTATACTGAACAAGGAAGTGATAAATATCTCTTAGAAAGATGGAGATTGCAAGGGTCCAGCACTGGCCAGCAACACAGTGGCCTTGGCTTTTTTTTTTTTTTTTGGCCTAATTGTCACGTAATCACGTTATACTGGATCAGGCGCACTTTCTTTTGATGGAGAAAGCTTTGAACTATGCTTTGCACTTCCTGCAAGAAGAGGATTTCTACCTCGGGGCAGGGAGGCACAGGAAGGCAGACGCTTGTGGGTGCCTTTTACAAGCCCTGTGAAGGGAAAGGAAAGGGGTTTACAAGGACGTCATAATTAGGAGTGATGTGTCAAGGCAAGCAAGCGCCTCCTGAACCTGACCCTGCTCATCTCCTCAGTGGGGCAGGCGGCCTCGGAACGCAGGAAATTCAGCCCGCTGCAGCACTGGGCACCCAAGCCGTTTTGCAATGCAAAGAAGGCCAGTGATCTCCCCGGCTTCCATACACTTACACAGCGGGAAGGTGGCGTGCAAGGTCACACGTTTATTTTTACTGTTGTTTTTTTTTAAAGAGCGATACAATTTGCATGAAAAGATTCCTTTTGGCTACCAACCAACTAGCTTGCTTATCTTGATATATGGATGAGAACAGGCAGGGGGAGCTGGAAAGCGTTTTCCTCACCTCCTCCAGACTCCCAGGGCCTGGGTGGTGCCATCCTGAACATCAAAACTGTCCAATGTGGTGAAGAGAAACGCTCCATTTGAATTCAGTCTCAGAGAGAGTTTACAGACTGCTGTGTCTTTATATATTTTTTTGGACAGTGAGTAATTACGATCAGAAGTAAGAAGAAGTCTTAAGCACTTAAAAAACATTTTCTGAGTTATTCTGGTCACAGTGAGGCTGCATCATGCAGGGAGGTGTCATGAACTAAAGAAACACGGCTTTGAGCGAGGAGCCTCTCCCCTGCCTGGGGAAGACGGAGATTCCTGCAGCCAAGCTCAGAAATAATGGTCTCCATGAGTCCTGAGAAAACTGCCCAAAACATTAGCACGTCAATCTTAAGGAAACAAGCCTGCCTTTTACAGACTTAATTTCATATAATTATTTCAGAGTTTGAGTCTTCACAAGAAAGAGGGAGTGGAGGGAAAAGATCAGAAAATTGAAGGGGATGAAGAGAAGAGGGATGAGATTGTCTTTGTTTTGAAGATTCCCACTCTCCCCCTGTGCCCTGGGCTCCGTCTGTGCTTTCATCTTCTGGGAGCAAATGCACCGCACACGCAATAGCATGCGGAGTGGCTCGGAAGGTACGGATTTCTGCTCATGTCTCTCTTTAAGGGACACTTTACTAAAGCTTTCTCTTATGTTTTGGGTCCTAGAATACCAAATGTGCGGCAAAATGAGGCGAGAAGACCTGCGTGCCAGTCTTCAGTCCTGCCTACTAAGTCGCAGTGTAGTTGGCCCAAGTCCTTAGCGCAGGGGAATCAAGTACGTCTCTAAAGTGGAAGTAATAATACGCCCCTGCCCACCTCTGAGGGCTACAGATGGGAAAACACTTTGGAAGGTTAAAAACGCTGCTCTACAAATTAAAGGTATCATTCTTACAATAATAAAGTTTAACTGTGATTAGTATTCTGTAAGTATCTAAGTTTAACTCTTACTAGTATTCACAGAAGAATCGGATGCATAGAATTTGGTAAGTAAACAAAAAACTTAGACATCATCTAGTTGATATAAAATGCAAATTACAAACCCCCATCCTCCAGGAATCTTGATTCAGTAGCTGGAGAGTCCAGCCCGGGAATCTGTATTTTAAACAGACACCTTGGGAGAGTCGGAGGCAGACAGTTGGCAACCAAACATAGAGAAGGACTTGGTTTTGCAAAATGAGGACATTTCTCATCCTCCCGCTCCCTGACTGTGCCCAGGCTCCCGTTGGGGCTGGGTGTGAGAAGAGAGCCCATTTCTTGCACATCCCTTCATTAATTTTCAGAATCTACAACATGAAGGACGGGAAAGAAACAAAGCAGAATGGGGGATTATGTGGATGGGTTTGGTTTCCCTTTAATGATGAGAAAAATGCATGTCTGCTCTGAGTGGATGATAAGTTGATCCAGAAAATGTTGCACAAGTGTTCTCTGCTAAGCTGCAGGGTCAAAGTTAACGATATAAAAGAAAATATACCTCCGTTTAGTTGAAAAGGACTTACGTTCAAGGCATTGCACAATGGGGCTGGTATGGGTTACACTCTGTCAAATGGCCCTGTTCATTTATTCAGCTTTCCACAGAACTCTGCCAAAGAGGACAATAAGGGAGAGAGGGAGAATTAGCTCTGTGGTCACAGTTTGTTTTTGCACCTGTGGTTTTTTGTGTGTTTTTTTTTAATGACAATAGTTTGAGAATATCATGATGATATTTTTAACAACAGTCAGTGAAATAGTTTGTATGTGAAGTTGGGATAACGAAATGAAGGACCTCTCCTAAAAGGAATCTCTTTTTTAGTAACCATTGCCTACTCTAGAATTAAGTGAAAACAAAGAACGAAGCTGAGGAAGAAGTTTCTAGAAAGATAGATGAATCCTAGAAATCTGGGAGTGACTTTTCACCAATGGTAAACTCATTGGTCTTGCGACTTTCTATTTACTAAAACTTTCACTTGTGAAAATGAGCAAAAACATTAACAAAAATGGCCTCTGGGAAATCAAAATAGAGAACTCACAGCCTCTTCAGTTTCTCATAGAAAACCCTCAGGTCATTCTTCACAATCCTTCACACACAGTTCTAAGACACACATACACAAGTGCTCAAGTGTGCATGTGTGTGTGTATATTGGTCTTCTATGCCCATAGTAAGCAATGAAAATTAGAAAATTCGGGTGGAAGAATTTCTGAAGATAGGTACATTGATAACCAGGAGTGATAGGTACTGGTCTGATAAAAAGCAAGGAGACAGAGAGTATATTTAAAAGTATACACGGGCCGGCCCAGTGGCACAGAGGTTAAGCGCACACGTTCTGCTTCAGTGGCCCGCTGGTTCAGATCCTGGGTGTGGACATGGCACCACTTGGCAAGCCATGCTGTGGTAGGCATCCCACATAGAAAGTAGAGGAAGATGTTACCTCAGGGCCAGTCTTCCTCAGCAAAAAGAGGAGGATTGACGGCAGATGTTAGCTCAGGGCTAATCTTCCTCCAAAAAAAAAAAGTGTACAAAATAACTTCAGAATCGCAGAAATCTAGGACCATTTATACCCACAAAAGACCCCCAGGGCCCTCCTGGAGTGCAGCAGGGTACCAGACCTTTGTTCACTGTCACAATCCCAAGACATCAAGAAAAAGTTAAATTATATTCTATTTCCTCTGTTTAAGAAGATACTAAACTGTGTATTTTAGAAAGATTTCCATTAAAGCGGTTAAAGTTAAAGACGTTTCCACACTGCAAGTGGCCAATCCTTATCTTTCCAGAACTCTCCCTTATTCAAAAACACTTTCTTTCCAAAGGTTCCGCTTATGCAAGGTTCGTCTAAGGAGGAAAGATTGGGGCTGGGGGCGGCGGAGGAACAGCTGTTTTGAGTTAAACAAGAAGCATGTTAATGACAGCACAGGAGTCAGAAAGAGCGTCGGGTTTAGCCTGCCGGTCCAAGGAGTAAAGCACTAAACGGCGGAATGAAAACAATTATTCAAGGTCTGTGATAATGGACGTGAGGAGGGAGATTCCGTGGACAGCGTTGATGAATGAGGTATCCAGGGCGTAGCACCATCCCCCAGCCTCGGAGGCTGGAGGCGGAAGCGGGCAGCACACGCGCTGGGCGAGGAGGAGCTGTGGGAACGGCCCGGCCCCGGCGAACTTGCCAAAGTCTAGGCTCTCCAGAGAGCGTTTTCTGAGAAAGGTGATAACCTGAACCACAGGTGGGCCGTGGCAGGGGCAAGAGGGGAGAAAAGAGGATGCTTTCAGCTGGAATATTAACGATCAACATAAATGTCATGATTACTAGGAAAGTTACAGGCACAGAGACACTAAGGGAAAAAAAAAAACCTGGTCTGTTATTTTATCTTTACAGTGGTTCCTACGAGAGGGTCAGCGGGTCGGGGGCGGAAACTCCCAGTTAATTATCTCCGCGTGTCTCTAAATCAGCAGGATGCCTGTAGTAAGTGAGCTCCAGCCTCTTTGCAAGGAGACCCTGGGCTTACTGGTGCCGACTGGGGAAGGCCAGGAATGTGGAGGAGGACGCCCAGCCCTAACTTCCCGAGGAGAGGAGAGAAATTGGCACCAGGTGCCCCCACCCCCACATCCTGCTTGCCTCCCCTTCTTGCACCTACAGCCCACAGACTCTGAAAACTCCCCCCAAATCTCTTACTGACTGGGGAGCTCTGTCTCAAAGGAAACGGGACTGAAACTAAACTGTCCCTATTTTAGAAGTGGAGGAGTGTACACGGAACATACTCAGGATGAAAAACTGCTGTCACGGACACTAACCCTAATTTCAGCCTTAACCCTTCCCCAAGCCACGTGACAAGAAGTAGCCACGTTTAGGACTTTGAAACATATAAACCCTTCAAAAAACTTTTTCTAATTCTGTGTCACATCATCTAATTTATGTTGTAGATTATAGGAAATGCAAATACACGATATGTTTTTTTTAAAAAGTTGGGAGGTCATGGCCACCAACAAACCGCTATATAAATAACTCCTAAATCCAGCTTTCTCCTCAGCCCTGGACCCCTATTTCCAATTGCCTACTGGACATCTCTACCTGGATGTCCCATAACTTCTCAACTTTTGTACTTGAATTTGCTTTCCACCCAACGCAGGTCTGTGGTCACCTTTTCAGCCTGGTAAGTTCTTGAGATGAGGTGAAACTAAACAGGCTGGATAATCATAAACATATTGTGTCACCACACTAAAGAGAGAGATTGGCAGTGGCTGATTTTCAAGGATATTTATAGGATTTAGAACTCCGAGAGCAGTGTAGACCTACTCAAGGATGTGTGTGCCGTGGTCCCTCACATCAGCAACCCTCCTGAATCTTGAGTGCTTGAGGAGAAGGGTAACAAGACCGCAGGAGCACAGAACAGGCACTAACAATAGTTTTTAGGACTGTCAGAGTCATTTAAATCATGGCCCTGGGGGTTTTCCATGATGGAAATATGGTATAAGAAAACTTCGGCATTGAGCGTTGGCCTCTCCATTCTGGGCCCTTTGCCCTGAGGATAGAAACCTGTTCACTCACCATTCTAAAAATGATCCTGCCCACACAGTCTTTCCTCATAAACTCATAGAAAGCAGAACCTAAAAGGAACATTAGAGATCTTCCAGCTCAGCCCATTTGGTACAGACCAGGCCATGGAAATTCAGAGGCGCTATGCTCACGGTCACAGAAATCCAGGGGCAGAGCTGTAACCAGAACCACGGTCATCTGTGGTGTTCTGCTTTCCTTTCTGCTTTCACAATCACCCAATGATGAAGAAAAGTTAATACCCTCACAGGGATATTTACACTTTAACAGGGTTGAAAGAATCAAGCTAACCTGCCTAAGGGTGGAACAGCAGGGCTCAACCACAAAGCAGAGCAGGTGTTTATAGGCTAGCTATCATGCAGCTCCACATTCTAGAATGCAGCTCTTTCAACATCACAGAGGTCTAGCATTTATACAAAGCTTCGCTGTCTCTTGAACTCCATTCAATATTAACGCCTTCACAGCTGGAGAAGAAAACACCCAAAGGGACGACACCGTACTACTGCGCAGCCTACACGCTGGAATGGGATCCAGCACGTAACCTGAGTGTTCCTCTCATCACGTGCAGTAATCTACATTCTTTCCCCCCGAAGAAAATTGAGGCTAATAAGAAACTCTCATTTCCTTTTCTAGTTGTTCTTGGTGTTTTGTTGCCAATTTGCTGATTGCTTAGCTACAAATTGGAGCAGGAGGAGGGACTAAGGCTGTGGGGTGAGGTCACGGATGTGCACTTGGACCCAGGAGACGTCTCTGTTTACTCACCTTGGTGATTGCCAAGTCATCTCCCCTGGGCGGCCTCATGAGATGGCCAGAGAGCCAGCACGCCTAGTAGCAACCATTGCTTGTTGAACATAATCTCACTCTCTTCTCACATCCCCATCCTTTCTTCCTTAAAGATTGGAAATAGCTTTGCCATTTCCACTTACCTACATCCCTATCTTCCCCACTTCCTTGCCACTTATCTTAGCAAGGTAAATGCAAAAGAAGCTGTACTCAGAAGACGTGTGTCTAGTATATCATGGGTACGAAATAAGCACCCTGACGTTAATCGCTAGATTACCGTCCTTTCCTGGTGCCTATGAATCAAGAAGCCCTGGAGAAATCTAGATGATATCAAATGACAGACATTCACGTAGATTATACACGATAAAGATGGAAATACTACTTAAATGCTAACAAGAGTGAGGATTAGGATTCTAGATTGGATTCGTGACTCACGGAGTTTTCCACAGCTCCTAATACGGAACCCACAGGATATTTTTCAGGAAGGACCCATCCACCAGCATGAAATTCAAGTTCTGCTCCATGTCTTTAAAAGTCTTGACTGTTTTGCAGTCTACTCCGTCATAACTTCTTGTTTGTTTTAATACAAAATCTTCCCAAAACTTCTAATAAAATGCATGCTTCGAGAAGATGCACCATGTTTATTCTGTGACATTCAATGGCCCTGTCACTCTCCAACATGAGAAATCAAGCTCAGTCAGCGAGGGAACCATTGAAAGAGCAACCTGTGCTCTTTGCAGGCTTGGGTTACCATTTTGTTCTAAGCCTTTTTTTCTCCATCAACTCTAAAATCTGACAAGTGTTCCTGTTGTATACGTGCACTAGGACTTTTGGAGTGCCATCCAGTCTGTGCCATTTTTTCTAAACTGTTTTTATCCACAGTCTTGCTAATAAAAATATATATGTATATATAGGAGTATGTATATGTATATACATATATATGTCACATCTGTGAAATAAGAATGGAATGATTCTTTTAAACGTTCAAAAAAACAAAAATTTTAAGAAAAATTCTGTAGAAAGTTTAGGAAATAAAGTTGTGGAGCTCTCTCAGACAGTGGTGCAAAAATATAAAGAAATGGAAAATAAGGGGTGAAAAGAGAAGACAACTAGAAGATCAGCCTAGGAGGTACAATATGTGAAAAATAAAAGTTCTAGAATAAGAGAACAGCAGAAACAGAGGAGAGAAAGTAATCAAAGAAAGAAATCAAAAAAAGTTACCTGAGTTTCTAGATGGAAAGGGTCTGCTACCTGCTTAGCACAATGAATGAAAATAAACCCACACAAAGGCATATCACGGTTAAATTTAGACTGAGGACAAAGATTTTACAAGGGAGAGAGAGAGAGAGGCAGAGAAGGAGAGAAGAGTTCATGTGCTAGTGATCACAGACCATGTGACCTCAGACTTCTCTACAGCAACAGTGCCCATGACCCAAGACAGTGGAAGGATGACTTCTAAATTATTTCCCACCTTGCAAAATAAGAACCAGATGTGAAAATACAATAAAGATTTTTTAAATACACCTGTTATGGACAATACTTGTGTGCCCCTAAAAGTCACGTGTTAAAGTTCTAACCCCGAATGGGGCTGTATTTGGAGATGGGACCTCTAAGCAAGGAATTAAGGTGAAGTGAGGTCATAAGGGTGGGGTCCTGATCAGATAGGATTAGCGTCCTTGTAAGAAGAGACACCAGAGAGCTCGCTCGCACTCTTGCTGTGCACCAGCACAGAGGAAAGGCCACATGAGGACACAGCAAGAAGGCAACCGTCTACCAGCCGAGATGAGAGCCCTCACCAGGAACAGAATTGACCAGCACTTTGATATGGGACTTGCAGTCCCCCAAACTGTGAGAAACTAAATTTCTGTTGCTTAAGCCCCCTAGTTTGTGGCATTTTGTTATGGCGGCCCCAGCTGACTAATACCATTTACCTCCCACTCATCCTTTCTCAGAAAGCTGCTAGAAAACAGGCAATGGCAATGCAAGGGAGCAAAACGAGAAAGAGGAGGAGACGGGCAATGGGAAACAGGAGCCCGGACACAGAGGGGCGATGGGGCTTCTGGGTGAAGGGAGAGCTAGGATGATCCCTGAGCTCTAGCCACAGCGGGCCCCGTCCAGATGGGAGCAGGTCAGGCTCCAGGAGAAATGCTCGATAGAAGACCCAATGTCAATGAGCATTCTGAGAGGCAATCAGACAAATCGTGGAGATTCTGGGTTGAATTGCTAAATCCATTTTTTTTTAAAGTAAGAAAAGGAGAAAAAGACAAGACTTGTTAACCAGGGAAAATAAGAAATTGTGTAGAAAAGTAATCACAGTTGTCTTAAATGGCTCCACTATCAACAGCACACATGTTGGTTATATTGCAATAGAACCATTTGCAAGGATAGGCATGGAGCACGGGAAATGGATGTGGGGGGCATGGGCGGGGGAGAAAAGAGAGCCAGATGCTCATCTTCTGTAATAGGAAGTCAACATGTAATACCTAAAACTGAAGCGGACATCAAGGGGTAGCTGAGCCCTCACGTTATTCGAAGACATGGAGGCAAATACAGAGTCAGCTGGGAGAGGAGAGGGCGTGCCCCTGGGGAAGGGGGAGGGGACCAGAGGTCGGAAGGTGCTGTTTCTCTTGACAAACCTTACAGAACTAGTGACTTTTTAATTAAGAGTATATGTAACTTGGATAAAAATCAAAGCTTAATGTTTGTGCTTTCAAAACCAAGCATCTGAGCCTCTCGCTCCTACATTACAAGTTCATTTCCTAATGCCATGCACAAAGCCCAGGGTTATATCATGGCTTGTCAAAATCTTGGTTTGGTGCCAGGGTGATTTCTAGTAAAAGATGGCAGATTGCAAAATGAGGATAAGGACGAGGACAAAGTAAGTCAGAATTCCTTTCCCTTACTGTATCTGAAAATGTCCAAATTGACTTAAAACAGAAATGACAGAAGGATAGGTAGGAATAAATGCCAAGGTGTCAGTAATTGTGCTAAATCAGAATAGGTTACTAATTTCACAGAATAAAGGCAGATTCTCAGCTTGAGTTAAAACCAAACTGAAAAAATCCAGCAGCTAGAACAGCACCACAACTACACACACACACACACACACACACACACCCCTCTTGTGACCTTTACACTAACGTTTCCTCTGTCTCGGATGCTGTTATTCCACCTCTGTCCCCATCACCCGAGGACCTCCCTGGAGAGCCTCTCTCTTCCTTCAAGCTCAGCTTAGGCATGGCCTCCTCTTTGAAGCCTTTTTGGAGCCTGCTGGCTGAGCTGGTTGTCTTTCTCTGTGTTCCCATAACCCTGTGTGTTTATGCCCATATCCGCAGCAACTGGGTTTTTTGACTTCTTTTTTGCTTTTTGATGAGCAAGATTGGCCCTGAGCTATCATCTGTTGCCAAGCTTTCTCCTTTTTTTTTCTTCCCAAAGCCCCAGTACATAGTTGTATATCCTAGTTGTAAGTCCTTCTAGTTCTTCTATGTGGGATGCTGTCATAACATGGCTTGATGAGTGGTGTGTAGGTCTGTGCCCAAGATCCAAACTGGCGAACCCTGGGCCACCGAGGGGGAGCACATGAACTTAATCACTATGCCACCGGGCAGCCCTCCCACAGCAATTGTTTTGACGACAGTCCCCTCTAATTGACAGCCTGGGAGCTCCTGCAGGGTGTTACCCTGGGTGCCTCTCACTCAGACAGATCTTGGCGTGCTGGATGCCCAGCCCCTCAGCCACAGTGGACAGGACCGCAGAAGCATCGGATCAAGAAAAGACAATCCACACATGGTCTATAAGGGGGCTGGGATAAGAACCTTGCCCCACAGAGACAAGGTGGTTTGGTTAGACTATAGGATCATCTCATTTGGAACACACAATTGGACACTTGGGATCAGAGAAGAAGCCGAAAGAGGCAAGGGAGTGTTCCGGTCTCCTGAGGCAGGCAGTAGGTCAGGAAATCATCAGTAAGCAGCCATGAAGAGTAAGCAGGAGCCCGAGGTAGAGAACAGGTACATGGAGTAGAGTGAGATTGTGGAGCAGAAGCGGGAGAAGCAGAGAACTGAGTCGCCCCCCTTGGTGTGCGGAGTGATGAGCGGTTACCAAAGCTGCCTGGGGTCCTGTACCTCTTCCCTGGTTTTCACAGGGCATTCCAGCTTCCCAGAGGCCTGCAGGCCAAGCTGTTCCTGGTCCCACGGGATCCCTGCAGTCCTTGTACGAGATACTGGAGGGGCACGCTGTGTCTTGCTACCAAAAACAAGAGACGCAGCCTCAGCGTTTACCATCTCGCATTGTCACTCCCTGCTTGCCCATCTCCCCCTCTAGACCGGAAGCTCGCTGAGGGCACTGTTTTCTGTGATAATTCTGTGTGCCTGGTGCTAAGCACAGTGCCTGGGCCACAGCAGGGATTAAGATTGCTCCAAGTGAGTTAAAGGATGCATGATCAATGAAATGTCTTCTAAGCGTGTCGGGGTCCATGCTCACACAAAAACTTCCCAAAGA